AGGGAGAGAACAGGTGCCCTTCGCATTTGCCACTGGCAAGGCATTCAGGGGCACAGATTCCCCAATCGGCTTCACGGCTCATCTCCTTCGTTTTCTTAATTGGCTTGCAGGTACAGATAGATCCGTCTCTCTAATCATCATGAAAGATGCTTGAAGACAGGAAGTAACTGTGCCAGATATTTCTTCTGTGTCTCCTACAGGTTTCCAAATGATGTCATTTTGTCACCACCAATAGTTAAGCCCCCACTGTGTTCTAGGCCCTGTAATGGCAGAGATTTCCAGTGTGCCCGTACCTCACTCAGCAAGCATTCCCTCAAATGGAAGGCTGTTAGGGACCTGCGTCTGTTAATAAGTAGTCTGCTTTCTCTGTGCTCAGAGGGAGTGCTCTGTGAGGGAGAACATGCACACCGTATTAGCCTGCAAGAGGGCCTATAACAGGCTATTACAAAGCAGGTAGCTCAAACAACAGAAATGTATTAGCTCACAGTTCTAGGGGCTGAACCTCTAAACTCCAGAGGCGAGCAGGGTTGTTCTCGTCTGAGATTTCTGCTCTATGCCTCTTGCCTAGTTTTTGAGGTTTGCGGGCATTGTTCATCATACTTTGTCTTGTAGTTGAATTGTCCTGATTTCTGTCTTCACCTACCTAGTGCTGCCAAGAAGTGAACGACTCTGCATCCAAACCTCCCCCCAAGGACGTTCTCTCCTCCAGGTTGTCCCCATTGTACCTGCAATGACCAAATGTGTTCACACTCTGCGATGTTAGAAGAAGCTAAGGTTTCAGCATACAAGTTTGAGAAGCAGGGCACATTTCAACACTGAACGCATGCAAACTATGAATTACATGCAACGTGGGCAATGCTGAAGCATGGAACTACATGAGAAGCTGGGGAATGGGGTGGTACAGGAAAGCTAATAGCACTGAGTTAAATGGGCTTGAGGACATGCATCAAGGGGGGAAAGGAACACATGGCCAACGCTTCAGAAGAAAACAGATAGATGAATGCTCTTCAAGTGGGTAAAAGAACAAGAAAGAGTATTTGGAGGAAGAGAGTCTTTAGCAACCTGAAGCACTTTTAAGTCTTTTAATTCTTTAGAATTGCAGAAGCCATCATGGAGTAAAGACTGGAGAGGAGAGAGATCTAGAAATGAGGCTGGAAAGGAAGTTAGAAGCCAGACTATGAAGAGCTATGGCACAGCAAATGGCCTAATCTCTGTGCATGAAAAGCTAAGGTCCTGGTTGTATCTTCGTGCTAGAATCCCATTCTGGTGATCGTGAGTGAGCTCTGAAATGGAGCCATAATGAAAGCCAAGAGGCAAGTCCGGAGTGTGTCTGAAAGTCTACAGATGTATGAAGCTCTGGGTGCATCCAAGAAGAGAGAAGCTACATAGAGGGAGATGGGTTTCCAGTGGGAAGCTGAAACCAATGGCAGGTCATGGGAAACCATTTGGAATAGCTTCAGCATTCATTGAAAATATGTAGCTGAGGCTAGTCAAGGAGACCTGGGAGCCCAGACATAGATACACAGGGAAGGAGAGCTCGTATCTGAAACAGAAAGAGATTTGGAGACTACCTTCTCTCTTCCCCTGACTTCACATTCACTTCCTATCTGACTTCTGTACCCTTGACCTTTACAGGGTATGTATGTTTAGATAACCTTCAAGCAAGTTAGAAAGAGCATTTGCTACACTAGAGCCAGATGAAAATGTCTGCCAAGGAGACATGAGCCCATTGGCTGGAGATAAGCAAAGTCACGAGGCTTATGGCATCTTTTATCAGTCTAGAAACGTGCAAACGGCTTCTTTTTGTAGATACGGTATCATCGTTCGTTACCTGGCTTTTTAGTCTACTGGCCGTGATGCCTAATTAGACAAAGCAAAAGTTGCAAAGTCTCTCAGAAACTGACCACCTGTTAAAATGTAATGCTAGAAAAAAAATGTCAAAGGCCTGCAGGTCTCTTAAAGGCTATGACCACATCCAGCTCCCGTGAATTGGCTGGGAATGCCAGATCTTGAGGTTTCTGAGTTGGACTCAGTCTTAAAGAATCTAGTCCTTTTTTCTGGTGGTTTGTATTTCCAGTTTTTTCTGTGGTTTGTTGTTTGTTTGTTTGTTTGTTTGTTTCAAACCATAAAGAGTCTCCAACCTAACCTAGTGCTTTACAAGAAACCAGAAGTAATCATTATAGCCAAAAACATGTCTCATAGTTATCTGGCAGGGGTTAGGGATATTCTGAGCAATATGTGTACTTGAACTCATTTTAAGCATCAGGATGAGCTCACGGAGTAAATTTTCATTACATGATGCTTAGGCAATAACTCAACTAGTAAACTCCTTGCTGTGCAAACACAAGACTAATCTCCAGCACCCACATAAAAACTCAAGCTAGTGTGGTGGTAGACATTTATCATCCCAGCTGCAGGGAGGCAGAGACTGGACGATCTCTAGAGTTCCCTGACCAGCTAATCTGGTCCCAGAGGAAGAACTAGCCTTAAAAGCATCAGAGTGGATCAGTGGCTCCTGAAAAATAACACTCAAGGTTGATCTCTGGCCGCCCTATGCACACACATGTACATGCAAGCACACACACACACACACACACGCACATCTAAAGATGAGAGGATGGCAGATGCCACAAGAAATATTTGACCAACCGCAGGGGAAACTCCAGTGTTAACCCACAAGCTACAGTGTCTCGGAATGGAGACTCTAGCAAGAGCCTGGAGAGCCTTAGCCAATAAAATTAGCATACATAGGCGCTTAGCTGCCCAGGCAGGCAACAGCTGGGAAAAAAAAAAAAAAGTCTTTTCCTGAACATTCTCCAGGGTGGGGCCACCTCTCCAGGCAGATTGTCATTTACTATACTCCCAGACTATAAAACAGAGAAAGCCAAGATTTCAGGGCTGCCCTCCCCTGCTCCTCAGAAGGAAGGAACACGGGGTGGAGAAGTATAAATGACCTCACAGGATATCGGGAGAAAGTCTAAGTAAACGGGTCCTCCAGTGATTCATTTGGGTGGACTACTTTCACACCAAGCTACATCCAAGAGTTCGGAGTGGGGTCACTGGGGGCCCCTCCCTCACTGCCATTTCCTCTTTTCAAAGTATTGGCAGATTTGGAGTCAAACTCCATCCAAACAGGAAATCACCCAGGTTCTAGGTTGGGGGTGGGGGGAAGGTCCTTATTTTGAAAGGGCACGCCATTTTTGCTCACCACGTGGGTGTCTTTCAAGCAAGTCCCTACTACGTGCTGGGTGCATGGTCGTTATGAATCCAGTTTATGCCCTGCAGGGAGTATGCAGAGAAAAGAAACCCAAACCCCCATATGCACATCTGGCAAAGCTTGCAGAAGAAAGGCTTTTAAGGGTTTGCACTGTCTTTTTTTTCCTCTAAAAACTAAAAATGGAAATAAAAGCCTTGAGCCCACCTCACTTGGGCTCACCAGGATGAGTATGAAGAGCCCTGAGCAGGGAAAGTAGGAGGCCCCGGGCAAGGAGGAGGGGACGGGAGGAGAGGATTGATGACAAGGTGGAAGGGCAGAGCCGGCAGCAGAGGGATTGGGAGTTTGGTTGGCAAGCTACGCCAGAGGCAGGTGCCAGCTAAGAGTGGGCGGAGGTGCAGGCGCCAGGCCAAGCGAGGCAGCGGGGAGGCTCGGCGTTACCTCTGCCTCTAGGAGTCTAGGCGCAAAGACAAGCTCGCCCCGAGGAGCCCCTGCTTCGTCAACTCTCCATTCCCTCCGCTCCTGCCAGCCCGGGGCACAGAAGTCCCTGCCGCCTGCAGGAGGAGCCGCTGGAGCTGTCTCAGCAGCTGCGGAGCGACAGCATCCTCGGAAGAGACGCCCCGGGCTACGCAGTCTCTCCAGCCTCCTCTTAGGGGCTGAGAGCTCCTTTGCGCCCCTACCAGGCCACCAGAGCCAGCACTCGTGCCACGGGGACCTCTCCATCTGAGCAGTCCCTGGCGGAGGGGTCACGGGGCAAAGAGACTCAAATAACAACCGGGTAGCCAGGGGACCCCAACCCGGCGTCTCTACTGGGGGAGAAAAGACGACGCTGTCAACACTGTGTGAGCTTCCTGCACACGGTCCCCAAGTTCAGAGGAGACACCCTTCCAGGAGGAGCTAATCCCCTGTGTAAGCATTCCAGAGCCATCCGGACTCCAGGAGCTTCTTCTGTCTGCATCCCAAGTGTTTCCTGGGTGTCCGCTTGGGCCATGCCCGGGCTGCGCAGGGACCGCCTGCTGGCCCTGCTGCTCCTGGGTGCGCTCTTCTCCGCCGACCTCTACTTCCACCTCTGGCCCCAAGTGCAGCGCCAGCTCCTGCCGGGCGAGCGCCCCGCCGGCTGCCCGTGCTCTGGCCGCGCCCCCTCCGCGTCTCTACACTCAGCCGCAGCCTCCCGGGACCCTGGCACAGCCGCGCACAACTTTTCGGGAGCCCTGCCCCGTGTTGAGCACCCCAGCCGCGGCCACCCTGCCCGGCGCTCTAAGCTGAAGGCCCTCTTCGCCCACTCGCTCTACCAAGTCCTGGAGGATCCGCCTCTCCTGGGACCCGAAGACTGGCTCCTGGCCAGCCAGGAGGCGCTGCGGTATTACCGGAGAAAGGTGGCCCGCTGGAACAGGTGAGGACCCTGCCAAGGGACCCCAGGCGCCGGAGTCCCTAGCATGACCCTCCAGGCCCTGGCTGGCTACCCGTGTCCACTCCGACCCTGGGCTGGGGGAGCTTCACCCTTCAGTCACAGCCTGGCATTAGGCTTCGATCCCCATCTGGACCCCCACCAGCTGTAGCAGACCTCAAACCTTAGTAAGAGAAACAATTTCTGAGCAACAGCAAAGAAATGCTCCCAGCCACTCCCCTTGAGTTCCCGGGCTCTCTAGCCAGTCACTTTCCCCGTCCCAACTGCTTTCTCAGACCCTTTCTTTCTGTCCTGCTGTGGGCAGCTGCTGTGGGACTGTTGTTTTCCAGAATGATCTTTGCAAACAGAGAGCAGGGCTGGCTGGAATTCACCACTCACCTCTGCTCTTTGGTCAGACCTCACTGCCATATCCCCAAAGACAGTTTTTGTTCCTGTCCTTGTCCCTCTATTCAGGGTTGGAGACCAAAGAGGTCAGCTGGAGCAACAGTTAAACTCTCAGCCCTCTGATATGGCCAATCCCTGTTGCTCATTAAACAGGGCCTGTCAGGTTTTTGGCCGATGTTCCGAACTGAAGACAGTTTATTGTCTTTTATTATGATGATGATTTGGGCTGAGGCTTCTGGAGGGAGTTGGGGGTGGGGAAAGAAGCCTAGGAATTTAGTAAACTGAAAGCAAAATTTGGAGCTAAATATTAAAGTATTTAGGATAAATCTAAGAGTGTTTTTTTTTTTTAACAAGAGTATGCTGGATAAAGTATCTAGGGTAAATTTAAGTGTTTTTACAAGAGTGCGTTGGAGACGGCCTGGTAGTGGTTGCTGGGAGGTCCCCCAGCTCAGAGCAGAAAGCCTTCACATGAGTTAAGGACTCTTTCAGAATCCAGAGCTTATCTGTCACTTGAATCCAGGGGTTCCCTGTTCATGCCACAGCCATCTGTCAATAAAGAGATTTCAGAAGGAGGTGTCAGGGGTGGTTTTATAGTCCCTCAGGAAGATGAGAAGGCCATAAATCTCAGTTGAAACTCTGTTGCTAGCCCAACTTAACTGTTTTCTCATTAATTGGTGGGACTAAAACTTGAGGGGGGAGGGATGTGGGGAGGAGAGCTTCCTCAAATGAAGAGCAAGAAGTTGAAACTTATTGGCTGAAATCTCTACAGTGAATTTCATTTGCAACCTCTATGGCTGGTGATTTTATATTAGAAAGTGGTTCTCAATTCTATTGCTAATTGCCTGCAATAAAAAAGGCAGCTTAAGATTGCTTCTCAAGTGCTGTCACTTTGAATATTACCTTAATTTCATCAATAATGTGGGAGCATTATGGATCAGTGAACTAGGAAATTTGCCCTTAGAAAAACTATCCACAGAATTACAGGCTATGGGCAAAGTTGCTTGCTCTGGTATACGTAGATGCATGTCTGCCTAGGCTCATTTCTGTCTCCTTAAATTTCCCCCTGTTACTTGGGCCCTGGAGGAAATTCCAGGGAAATATTTAGGGAGAAAAGCAAAAATCTTCCTCATCAAGCTGAGTTGTTGATTTTAAGTTTGCTTCTAACAATGTATACACATACACACACACACACACACACACACACACACACACACACACACACACACACA